CTGTTTTACGTGTGAGCCAAAGTTGTCCCTCCTGTGGGGGGGGGGGGGGGGAGAATGAAAAGGGATAAGGCATTCTCTCTCACCTGTAAATTTGATGGCTGCCACCCAGATCTCTGGCCACAGGCTCATGTAGTGCCTCTGGGCTGCCTTGCAGAGACCTTCCAGGAGAGCAGGTTTTTCTTTGGCCTGGAGGGAACCAAGGTCACATGAACTTCCTCTGGTAAGAAGTGCTCTCACACCATGTGCTGGTACTGATCAGGAGGAAATGGGAGCACCAAGGGACTAGAAGGAGCAATCCTGTCCTGTCCCATGCCTCACAGTCCTAGACCAAACCCTTGCAGTTATTTACACTGTGCCTCAGTTCCCTCCCACCATCCTAAAATGAGCCCTGCCCTCAGTCACCTCCTGCCACTCACAAAGTCACTTGCCAAGTGCCTGCAGGTGTCTCTCAGCAACTGCTCTTGTTTCACCTGTTCTGACCCCTGGACATGGAAGGTCAGGGCTTCCTGCACCCTGCTTAGGCCCAGGTAAGGGGAGCAGAGGCCTGACGTTGTTCTGCACTCCTGAAAAACATGGTCTCACCAGGTCTGTATTCTCTGCTGACTGCTGTGCTGAGCTGAAGCCAAGGTTTGCCTCTTGATCCAGGACAGCATCCAGGCCAGGAACTGGAGGGCCTAGCCAGGAGGTGATTGGCACTAGGCATGAAGGAGTGGCTGTGAGCAAAGGGAGAACTTCTCCTGCCTTTCGTATGGCACCTGCAGGCAGCACCTGTCTCCCCCTCAGTAAAGCCATGCAAGATTTTCTGCATGAACAGGGCATGCAACCTGTCCTGGACCTGGGAGGAAGCCCCAAGCTCAAGAAGGTGCCTGGATGAAGCCACCTCAGTGGAAAGGGGATGGTCACCACAGGATGAAGGAATGACAAAGTGTCCCTGGGGCTGGACTGAGACCACCTTGTAGGGCTGAGGAAGTCAGTGTCACTGGTTCTTACCTTGGCCACCTGCAGGTTGGGGTCCTTCAGGTGAAACAGGAGCATTGCCAAGCTCTGCCTCACCTGGCTCCTATAATAGGCTTGCCATCTTATTTTCATGCAGCCTTCCAGGGTGCTAAAGAGGGCGAAAGCCATTAACAGATATTGTCATCATCCTGTGGCCAAAAAACTCCAATGTGGTCACAACCAAACCTTTCTCTCATGGGCCTGGCAAAGCTCCTGACAGGAGCTTTTTGTTTTCATCCTGCCAAGTGGTTTACCAGGGAGGTGGACTCTGATAGCTCCTGCTCCAGGTGGGCTGCCTGGGAGCCAGGGCACCAGCGGAGCTCAGGGAGCAGAAGCAAGCCTTGTTCCCTGAATGTGTGGTCACTAGGGGCTCTGAATATGAATCCCAGCAAAAACAAATCCCTCAGCCCCCATGCTCACTTGTCTCTTCCCACCTCTGCTTCCCACTCTGGAGAATCAACACAGCAGAGAAAGTCCCAGAGCCCTACAGAGCCCCATGACCCCAGCTGCAGCCTCTCCCAGTCTCCTGAGAGTCCCTCCTTGTCTATAAGGGCCCATCTGTCATCCCATTCTCTTCACTTGCTTTTCCCCCTGAAAAAATCATCTCTTCCACAGAACTTAAGATCTTCCAGTTTAGACTGAAACAAGGGGCAGCAAGTGGATCTCCCACTTCTGAAATGGCCCCTAATGAAGAGCATTGGAATGGGGGCGGGGAGTGCTGCTTACTCACATGGTTGAAGAAGGGCCTGAGGTGTGTGACTACATCTGAAACCAGGGGCCCCAGAAGAGCACAGAGGATATCTGGTAGCAGCTCCCTCAGCAATGGGCTGGAGTGAATGGTGGTGAGCATGTCCAAAGATGCACATGTTGCCTGAAGAGATAGAGAAGACCAGAGTCAGCATGGGGAAGACAGCTGGAAATCCATAACTCCAAGTCTAAAGGTCTCTTCCTCACATCCAGGAGAACACAGAACAGCTCTGGCAGCAGCTCCCTTAGCACTTGGCTCCCTTCCCAGTCACAACCCTGCACTTCCAGTCACATCCCTTCCCAGTCATATCCCTGAACTTCTGCCTGGGAAGTGCAGAGGCACCAGCAGCCTGAACATAGAGCTGCAAAGCAGAAAGAGCCTCTTGGTTACAGGAGTTTCTAGTTCCAAAGTCTCATGAAGCCAACCAGCCATGTAGCATGAAGCTGCTGTGTTTCTCTTGCTGACAGAAGATCAGGTGTGACCAGGGGTACAGGAAAGCAGGGGAGAAAAGCTTGTCCCACAGCCTGGCGTCCTACCTCAAGCTCTTGAGATTCAGGGTTTTAGTCCTCAAGGGGGAACTGACAGAGCTGGGCCTGGGCTGTCACTTACTGCTAGAGGTCCAAGGGCCATGGTGTCCTTAGCTGAGCTCTTGTCTGCCAGCCAGATGTTGAATCTTGCTCATGAGCAAGCGTAGTATGTGGAAGGTGAAGAAATCATCCCCACCCAAGGCCCTCCAGAGCTCAAAGGTCTTACTTAAATTTAACACAAATGACACATGAGCTGTGGGTAGTCTTGTGATGTCATGAAGCAATAGGACATTGAAGCAAAGGCCAAGGGCTCTCCTGGTCTGGGATGGGGTTGGGGCATAGTGATGTCATTTGACAATGCCGTTAGGCAAAAGCCTGGCATTTCCTATGCAAACACACTAGGACATTGACTCTTACCAAATCATCCCAAAGGATCTGCAGCTGACTTGAAACTCTATGGACTTTGCCAGGCTGTGGGATGCGTGTGTGCCACCAGGCACAAGAGGTAGGGAGTGTCAAGTACCTGTTCATTGGCACAGGATTTCTAAGGAGGCTGCTGGTTACTGCTTCTAGATGGAAGCCAGTAAGAATGGAAACACCTTCCAGCAGGAAGCCTCTCACAGACCTTTCCTAGATTGTCCGCATGTGGATAAAAAGGGCGCCTAAGATGTCCAGCACCTGGAGGGAAGATAATAAGAACAAGGGCCCCTTTTTCATTCAGCCAGCACAATCCAAACAAATTCCTCCCACAGTTTGTCAATTTGCTGCCACCTTAGAAATTCCTTGCTTTAAGGGATTGATGTCCAGACACTGTTGCCTCCGGCTGATCCTAAGAAGTGAGCACATCTCTATGCCCCTACTTGGGGTGAAAGTGGACAATGTGACATGTGTGCAGACACCAAATGGCCCACACAGTCTCAGCCATTCTCCTGTCCATGTGCACACACCTACAATCTAATTGCATGTGCCGCCCGGGACCTATTTCTACCTGACATTAACCCGCATGCTCTCACAAACACCTCAACAAATATCAATATCTGGGGGTGGTTTTAAGAAGCTAATTTTGGCTTTCTGTCTGTGTGGATGCTCAGCTCAGGACCAACAAGCACCACCGACTTCAGAAACCCTGTGAGAATCCCTAGGGACCACAAGCAAGATGATTATAACTGTAATTTTTCTAGGCGAGCCCGGCTGTGCTGGAGCTGAACACTGGAGTCCACACTCTTCATTTCTAACTACACCTCCCCATTCTTTACATGGCCAGGCCTGCGGGGCAGTAGGTCCAGTTGTCCATACCCAGTGCCATCCATAACAGGGAGAAGGGGGAGGCTACAATATTTCTGGCATGCATTCTTTCCTGCACCCTGTTCCCAACCCCGTGGAGAGGAGCAGGATGGAAGTGTAGCAAAACCCCCAGTTTTTCTTTTCTTTTTTTTTTTTTTTTGCAAAATGCATTCCCTCCCCTGCCCCAACCATTTCTGACTTTTTCTCTTCCTCTCTATTCCTTATAAATAAGTATAAGTGAGCTCAGACTTAGGATAAGCTTTAAACATTTCTATTTTGGTAGCAAGTTTTTGGTTTTGGATATCCACCATTTTGTATTGTATAATTATTAGGTTTGTATTAATTCTTACTGTTGTATATTGTATTATTATCATTTTTGTATTGATTTTTATTGTTTCAAATGGATATTGTATGGTTTAGGCCTGTGTTTGTAAGTGAACCAAAGTCATGTCACGTTTCCATTTTATATGTCAAGCTTCCATCTTCTGTCCTCTGCCTGGGCATCCCCTGTGTTGCAACTGTATGAGTCATGTATCCCTCCCATGTAAATTGGTTCCTGGATGAATGAGTGTGATTGGGAATGATTAACATACAATGGTAGCAGGCCTCTACTAAATGCCCTGTAATGACTGGGCCATCACCTCACATTGATTCACCCAGGAACCATGGACCTCACCCACGAACAGAGACAAGACCAGCATTTGAAAGACAAAAGACCCTGCAGAACCAGCACCTCTCACCATTACAGACACCTGAAACTACACAGCCCTGCATGAAGCACACATGCTCAGTACGCTAGGGGCTGAGCCTTGCCTGGGCATGCCTCCTGTCACTAGGGTCACACAAGGTCTGCCCAATAAAAAGGGGCAGTGAAGACAGACCAAGTGGGATGCCCTCTCCATCTGAACCAGCACCATGCCACGCCACCTATCCACCCAGAGGTCCTGTCGGTGACACCCCTCTGGACAACACCTACTGGAAAAGGACCCATTTCCAGCCTGAATAGGTAGATATTGCCTGCAGACCTCCTCCTACAATTTGGACTCTCTCTCGCTCTCTCTGTCTCTCTCCCTTCTCCTGGACTTCTGTGTACTTCAGCCCCTGCACCAAGCCTCTCTAACCCCTGCTGACATTGTAGGTGGGTGAGTGGGTGGGTGGGTGGATGGGTGCAAGGGACTCAATAAAACATTTTGTCACCATCTTCCCTGTTCAGTAAAACCACTGTCATTAGCAACCCCGATTTGGGTCATGTTTTACTGAATCCCAGTCCCTTCCTTATCTAAAATTCCAGCCTCATTCTCTCTTTCTCAGCTCTAGCCCCCACCCCTCTCCACTAGTTTCCCAATCTCCTCTCAATTCCTACTGCCTTTTCCCTGTGACTTTCTGCTGCCTTTCTCTGCTTTCCCATTGCCGCTGCTGCCTTTCAGTCTTTTCTGCCACTTTTCCTGTGATTTTATGCTGTCCCCCTGCTTCCCATGCTCCTACTGCCTTTTTTCCTGTGACTTTCTGCTGCCTTTCTCTGCTTTCCCATTGCCGCTGCTGCCTTTCAGTCTTTTCTGCCACTTTTCCTGTGATTTTATGCTGTCCCCCTGCTTCCCATGCTCCTACTGCCTTTTTTCCTGTGACTTTCTGCTGCCTTTCTCTGCTTTCCCATTGCCGCTGCTGCCTTTCAGTCTTTTCTGCCACTTTTCCTGTGATTTTATGCTGTCCCCCTGCTTCCCATGCTCCTACTGCCTTTTTTCCTGTGACTTTCTGCTGCCTTTCTCTGCTTTCCCATTGCCGCTGCTGCCTTTCAGTCTTTTCTGCCACTTTTCCTGTGATTTTATGCTGTCCCCCTGCTTCCCATGCTCCTACTGCCTTTTTTCCTGTGACTTTCTGCTGCCTTTCTCTGCTTTCCTGCTACCACTGCTGTCTTTCAGTCTCTCCTGCTGCTCTTCCTGTGATTTTCTGCTGTCTGTCTCTCTGTTTTCAGGCTTCTCCCACACCTTCTGTAGTTCCCCGCCCACACCCTGCAGCTTCCCAGCTCCTCGTGTCTATCCTGCAGTTTTCTCTAGCAGCTGGAGCCTTTCTCCAGCTCCCAGCACCTACTGCCACTTCCTGCAACTTCTCTAGCTGCCCCAGAGCCATCCTATGGCTCCCCACATCCAGAGCCCCTCTTTATCACCCAAACTTTCCTTTAGTCCCACTTTCCCTTTCCAGTACCTACTTTTTCAGCTCCCCCATAACTCTGGCTCCAGTCCCAGCCTCCGTGCCAGCATCATTTCCCTACTCTGAAGGCTTTGGGCATTGACTTTTAATCAATTAAGATCAATTAACCTAAAGTTACCCCCGAGCCTCAATTCTTCAGCCCAGGCCCCTGTAGTCTACCAGTTCTAATCCCAGTCCTGGTAACTTTCACTCCCTACACTTCTACTTTCTTACCTTAACCTTTCCCCAGGTATCCCAAGTACACCAAGCACATACATACATACACATCACAACACCCAACTTAGGAACTCACCTGTGTGTATGTGTAGGTGGATGGTATGTGTGTAAATTAGTGAATACACATATATATACATATATAGATATCATTGTGTGTGTGTGGTATATGAATTAGTAATCCACCTATGTGTATTGAATGTGCAGGTGTTGGTAACTGGTGACTGATTCTGTCTAAATTTGGTGTGTGTAGCATGTATGGGCTTAAACTGGTGATAGGTGTGCATGAACCTAGACTAGTCATTTTGAATGTGTATGTATCTGAGTTGCTAGTGTGTGTGTGTGTGTGTGTGTATGGCATTGTGTGCATAATATACAAATTAGTAATCCGTGTCTAATTTTTGGGTTGTATAGTGTATGTGCTTGAATTGGTAATAGGTATGCATATGCCTATGCTGGTTTGAATGTGTATGTGCCTGAGCTGGTAGTGTGCATGTGTATGCACCTAATTGATTTGTGTGTTTGTATACATGCAATTGTGTTATGCCCTCCTGTCTAACAGTGCAATATTGAGATCCTGAGAGTTGGCCTGACCCCACAGGGCAACAGAAGGAGCATTTCACATAGCCTCTACCAAAGCTGGGAAATACCTGAGGACACAGAACCATCTCTAGCTCCTGCCTCACCCTGGACCCCCTGAATGGTGTGGCACTGAGGGAAGCGTGCATCCGTTCCTCATGCCTAAGCATGGTGTTCCAGCCCAGCCACAGCTGGGTGCCTCAGACTCCTTATTGCCCTCTCCTGCTATATTTGCCCCAGAATCTATGTTTCCAAACCTTCCAGGGCTGAAAGCTCTTATCAATAGCCTAGGTTACTGAATCCCCATCTTGCCTTCCTGTGCTTTTTCTCTTGGATGCAGCTGATCTGCTATTCCCCATCTCTGGCTAGTAAGGGAAATGGAACTTGCTTCATGTCCAGGAATCAACACTAAGATTGCTGTTCACTCCACATGAAAGCAGTGTTTGAAAAGCATAAAACAAATGCAGAAAGCCTCCTCAGCTTCAATTTTACCTCATCCAGAAGGGCATCTCCATGCTCCCTAAGGATTGTAATGAACCAATGTCCTGATGCTGTGGCACATGTCGGGCTGGCAGAAAGCATGCCATTCATTATGCTCCCCAAAAGTCAAAGGGCCTGGCTGGATGGAAAGTATTTTCCAATGACCTGGAGTCAAATAGAAAGAAGGGAAAATGCACTGAACCCCCGAGTTCAAGAGTGATATTAAATACCTGCGCTATGCATAAGCTTCTGCCCTGTGGCAACTTGGTGCATGTGAATCCTGTGCTTGAACTGATCTTCAATGGAGAGAGCATCATTTGACAACACAACATGAACACAGCCAAGCTGCACCCCAGGAGAAGTTAAAACAGGCACACAAGGAGACCACATCCTGGCTAAGGCTCTCACCTGGATGCTGTAACAACAAAGGTTTTTTTCTGTTCAGGAACAGAGCTATCTACAAAGCTTTCTAATCTTACTCTGAATTATTCTTTGTACCATGGACATGGGTAAACAGCAGGAGATACTGGATGAACAGTAAGTGTCCCAGATGCCTCCCCTATGCAATCCAATGAAAGAGATAAACCATGTGTGATGAGCAAAGGAATGGTCTATGAAGGATGCCCAGTTCCCAGAGTTACCACACCAGCTTCTTGAGCCACTGACCTTCACCATGTGGGAGGATCCTATAAGCACAGCCTCAGGGCTGGAGGCTTTGGGCTCCTTATGGAGACCTCTCAGCTCCTCCTCTGCTGAATCCATGGTCATGGACTGGTATGGAATGAAAATAAGGAGGAAAAAGTGCTGTAATGATGTCTGAAACAGAATCTTGGCTCCATGGAGGAATCATGTGCAATGTCATGGGCAGTGTGGTCCAAGGGCCAGGTTTGAGGTCTGAGTGACTTCAGTGGAGGTCACAGGTGCAGTGGGATCAGAGCTGCTATAAGCCTCTTCCCATTCTTGCTAGGGGAGACTTCTTTTCACACTTCCCAAAGAGGGCCAGGCCCTTCACACCACAAAAATCTTCTAGGCATTACCAGAGGGAGAAATAGGGGCAAAGCCACTTGCACCTACTCAGAGTGCCATCACCTTGTAGGTGGAGAAGGCAGGCAATGCACTCAGAGGCCCACAGGTAGGATGTGGGCAGAGAGGTGCAGGTGTAGGGTGCCAGCAGCCCCAGCAGAGACCAAAATTGCTCAAAAGGGTATTGAAGCTGAGAAAAAAAAGGAGAAAGAAATGAATGACATATGCCTGGGTTTGGCTAGAGTGATATTCAAATGTATGATCCTGGCAAGGTGAAAACAGGAATGTATCCCTATGGGACCCTGTCTTCTAGGGAAGTTTTCTGCATCTCAGGGTGAGGCTGCCATGAGGACATCAAGGGAAAAGAGATTTAGAATATATTTACTCTGAAATAGACTGTCTCCCAATAGGCCACAAGCAGCTGGGAGCTGGCCTGCAAGGCCATATCTCTCTCCCATTCCTTGTCAGAGAAGAACCATGGCTCAAGAAGTGGTCAGGAGAGCAAACTACTGTCAGAGGAACCTTTAAAACAGCTCAGAGTAACCATTTCAAATGCAGACATCACCATCACCACTGAAATCCCTCCAAGCAATCTGATTCTTTTATCATCTGGATACTTCTCAGGAGGACCTTTAATTCCCAAGAAGCCAGAGGAGCTGTTGAGTGACCCTTGGGAGACTCCCCTCTCATTTGTCCTGCTGAGGGAAACTGCCCTCCCTGTTTCTTTGGCCTATTGCCACCTTCCCCAGAGAAGATATCTCTGCCTGCTCCTGCTGGCTAATCACATGGGACATCTCCATGAACCAACTCTCAGTGGGGTCTTCTTCAAGGAAGCCCCTCATGAGCTCACCCAAGGCCTGCATGGACAACTTGTGCAATAACTGGAAGCAGAAGATAGAAGAGGGAAGCTCAGAGTCAGCTGGTGTGTGTGTCACAAAACCCAAAACCATGCTAGGGAGGCCAGGGCCCAGAGGAGGCTGGGGAGCAGGTCCCAGTAGGTGATTTCAGAAGACAGCTGTTTAGGTGTACCTGTATTTGGAAAGAGTCCTGAGACATCTCATCCTCCTTCCCCAGCTGCAGCACAGCTGGAAGAGACAGCAGACACTTGAGGCAGTCATCAAGGTTGTTTATGTTTTCATCAAGATTCAGTGAGGGTTTCACCTTGCTGGCAGAAGAAAGAGAGGAAGAAAAGGCTACAGTCAGACTGATTTCCAGCCTCAAGGAAAAGTGGGTCTAGTGCTAAGATATGACCTGAACCTAGAGCCTGAAATCCAAACCCCCCTGGACATGGCAGCTGAGAAGCTCCTTGCAATCCCCACCACTCCTAGTTGTGCCACAACTACCACCACCTGGTCTTTCAAGTCCAAATCTCCAAGTGGACCAAACACATTCAAACCTCTATGACCCCAGCAGGGAGAGCAGCCTGTGACCAGAGCCCTGCAGGTGTCTCTCAGCTCCAGATCTGACAGGAAGAACTACAGAGAGTTAAAGAAGGAGCTGATCTCTGATCAGGGCATCCCAGTGCCAAGGGCCAGGGCAGGAATCACTTACCTCAGATGCTTAATGGCAAGCATGGCCCTGAGGCAAACAGGAGAGGCCAGGGAATCCATTGGTTCCTCTTTCATGTAGTTCTAAAAGGCAGAATCAGAGACATGGCACAGGGTAAATGGATGTGAAAAGCAGAGAGCCTCTCCCACACAAACCCACCAGACTGCCCTCCAAGGTGGGCTGTAAATAGTGCCAGGGATGTGCTGGCCACTGCCCCAGGATCCTGTTCAGGTCAATGGCATCAGCTCAGAGGGCACAGAGCTTTATCCCAGTCACTCACCAGGCACAGCCAGGCCCTCCAAGAGCAGCCCACAATGCAGCATTCCCTACAAAGCTTTCAGTGGTACCAGGTTTCTGGGCCCCAAGCAGACCCTTCATGAGGCTCTAATAATCCCATCACAGCCAAGGACCAATCACAGCCCAGGCCTTGTGCTCTAGTACATGTTATGCTGGCATGTCTGGAAGTTGTGCACAACCAGTCCCTACAGAACTGGTCATAAGGGGAGTGGAGGGTGCTCAGCACCTCACAGATGTGCCCAGCACAGCACAGCACAGGACTGGGCTTCATACAAGGGCAAAGTGCACAGAGCTTTCCTCAGGCAACAGAAACCTCCCAAGTGTGCAGGGAACTGCAGGAGAGTGGTTGCTCTGGTGGAGCCCTTCATAAGCAAATGCTACTCTGGGTCTCATCAGCCTCAATGTTGATAAGTCCCTGGATTTGCCCCCTGTGACAAAGAGTAGAAGCTCCCAAACATTCAATGCTGCAGAAGGGAAATGGTACCAAGTGGGGCTCCAGTAGGCTGCAACCTTTCCCCTTCCTTTCTGTTCTGCAGAGATCACTGTGCTCCTTCCTGCTTGTTACCTTCAATGGTCATGAACAGGATGGGAATCTTAATCTTCCACTGATCTCCAACAGCAGGGTGGATCATGCAGTGCTGAGCCCAGAGTCCCCTCAGGGCAGAATGTGTGTGGCTGCTGTCACCCAAGGCTGAGGCAACCATCTGACAGTGAGAGAGAAACAGGGGTTCAGCTCTGAAGTGGGTCTCCATGGCTTTCTTTAGGAGGGAAACTGGCCTCCACCATACATGGCCAGAGAATTCAGCAATCAGACACTGGCTGATGTGCTCTGCTTGGCTGATCCTGCAGGCCCCTACACAGGCTGCGAGGCAGGGGAAGAGCCTGGCTCTGCTCTGCAAAGGGAAGGGAACTCTGCCAGCACAGGGCAGCTCTGACTGTGGGAAGAGACAGAGCATGTTCCTCCATCTAAGGCTACAGGCATGTGTCCACCACACCACTGACACTCCCCAAACCTCTGGAAGGAATCTTTTGAGGGCTACTCACCAGGAGTCATACCAGCTGCCCCTGGGCCTTAGGAAGTTTGGCTGGAAAGAGAAAGAGAGCATGGTCATGCGTGACTACTTTGAAACAGGGATGATGCTTCTACAAGTCTGTTCATTCCCAATGTTCCCACCCATGTACATTCTGGGAGCTGGGCACAAGTAGCACTTTCATGTCACCTTCCGTGTCTGCATCTCAAGGAGCTTTGCCAAGGAGCTTTCATTCCCAGCCTCCCCATGAGGAAGGCATGGCTCAGTCATCATTGGATGAGTGGGGAAGCTGAGTGAAAAAGGCCCTTGGATTTCGCTATGGTGCAGCATAAATCTGGGGCAGCTCTGAGTTGGGGGAGCCCACATTGCCTCGCTCCCCCTCCCAGGTTTTAATGACCCAACAGTCCCTCCCACCTTTGGGCCTTATCATTATGGATGGAAGAGGTTGAAGATTTTCTAAGAGGCAGTTGGAGCTGGTTCATCCCACAGGGATCTGGATTCCAAACCTCCTTTGCTGGGGTCTGTTCTTCTCCCTTCCACTGCGGTTGCTTGGCCAGGTCCCCATGGCATCGGCACGGAGGGATCAGAATGCAGCTGTACTGAGCTGGCACCATGTACTCCAGCAGCTGGGGCCATAAGACCTCAAGAGAAGAGCCAGACAACTTGGACTCAGCTATTTGTACCTCTGCACCCAGCTCTCTTCATCCAGTTCTCAAGGGCAGTCTCCTCTTCTTCACCAATGACCCACCTACTTGAGGGTCCTTCCCCCACTTGTGACCTCATGTTTCTTTCTCAGGAAACATCCTTGGGACTCTATTTCTACAAGAGAGCATTGCTGTTCTCAAGGAAGTTTCCCTGACAGACTGTGTGGTCAGATTTTCACACCTCAGTGCCTGAAGGGGCAAATCTCAGCCTCATCAGAAGATATGCATAGTCCAGTTCAGAGTCTGGTCTTGCTGACACCCTGGGAAAAACCCAGAGTAGCTTCACTGACATCATGAGAGCTCCCTTAGATCTGTACCAGTGGAAATGGTCTGACTGTGGTTCTAATGACTCAGCCTGGCTGCCCTGGTGTACCCCATGCTCCTGTTCAAGCCAATGTCAGGCTTCAGCCTGCTAAAACAGCAGCACCAAGTCTCCAACCTCAATTTCTCTTACCATTTGGCTGCTATGCAAGCTGGACTCCCTGAAAATATGGGCCACTAAGTCCCAGGCCCAGTCATCCAGGCCCTGCACGTTGAGCAGTGTCCTGCTGAAATGAAGGACGGCCTTCTTCACCTGGAGGTGCTGAAATGGAGGATGGCCTTCTTCACCTGGAGGGGAGGAAAGAATAGACTGGAGTCCGGACTGTCCTTATGCACAAATGGTGGCAGGGACCAGCCATGGCACAAACCATCCCTCAAAACTTGGAAAAGATGACAGGGAGGGAGAAGGGTCCCTAGTCCTCCAATTTTATTTCTAGGGTTTATAAATAGGCAAGAGAACAATGTGTCTTTACTACTCAGTAGTGCCATATTGGCATCTGAGGGAAAGCAGATCCCCTCCCCACTGTCAATCTGATAACACTCCTCTAGATCCTTACTCTTCCCAGCTCTGGAAGCAGAAGGGCAGACTCTCTGCACTGCCTTCCCTGAAGGCGCTAATGCGGGGAAAGGTTTTCTCTACAAGAGAATTAAGATTCTTGGGTGGGAATTTTGTGTCAGGTCCATGTGCCATCCCCAGCACAGCCACTACTCACAGATCACCTCAGCTGAGTACTCTGATCAGCCAGCATGCACCTCATGGTCTTGACTAGATCACATTATTTCTTGCTCATCTCTGGCACTGGAAGGAGAAGAAGGGCACAGTATTGCTGTGTTCTGGGAGCTCACCCTCCACAGCAAGATACACCCAGGTTGCAAAAGACCCACTTGTAGCAACCTGCACAACCTCCTGTCTCCACTTTGGAACCTGGGAAAGTCTCTGGGGCCATAACAAAGGTCTTGTTAAACCTCTTGACTTCAGAGTGCTGCCAGGAAAGGTGTCAAAGCAGGATTTGGCCCCAGCATTCCTGTGTCATCCAGCAGGACTCAGGATGCTATTGGCCCTCTGTGACCAAGCAGCAGAGATTGGAGGTCTGGCTCTAGCTCTACACAGCCAGGGCTCTTGAGTGCACCTAAAGCAGGACAGGTTATTCATCCTGGACAGTCCTAACTCAGTTCCTGAGGGGTCAGCCAAAACAGCAGTCAATACGTTTGCTCTGGTCATATTTACAGTCAGCAGCAATGATGCCACTAAAGATTGCAAGGGACATCATGTGGCTTGCCTCCTTGTTGGTCTTGAGCCAGGAGCCTACAAGGGAAATAAATTGGTTTAGGGAGAGACAGGCTTCAGGGAAAAGAGCACAACCTCAGTGACCTCAGCACTCCTCATTCTCATTCCCGCTTCCAGGTTTGGCACAGTGCAGGGAGGTTTGAAGGAAATCCCTATGTCACTTGGAATCTCCTCTCCTTACCAAGCAGAGGGAGATAGTAGAACACCTTGACCTGGTTCTGTGATCTTGGTAGTTACATGATATCACACACCTGTGGGAAGAAGGGAAGGGATTCTCCACAGTCCCATCTGGGTGCAGATGAAAGTGTGGACTGTATCCTGAACTCCCACTGTCTATGAGTTGAACCAGAGTATTTTTGAATCCCAAGAGACATTACTGCAATCACAGCAAGAGCCAAGAATTCAAAGGTCCAGACCATAAATAAGAGGGGATCCTGATTTCCAAGTCCCTTTAGCAGCATGGCTGCTCTTTGCTGCACTCACAAGATAGGGTTGATTGTTCTGGTCCTGACTTGCTATGACAAAGAGATTTGCATGGACCTCCCCAGCAGTTGAGCTGGACTGAGGGGAGACAAGGAGGTCACCACTTGTTTTCTTCTTCTTGGGCAAGCAGAGAGGTTGCCAGCAGAGTGGGGCTTTGTACCGCGATGAGCTGGGTCTATCTGGCTAATGGGACTTGGATCTGCTGGGCCTCAGGATGTGGTGTACAGGATTGACCTCCCCTTACCTGAGTGTACAGGTCAAAGCAGATGCTCTTGAGTTTCCCATCAGGGAGAGGAACCTGAAAATCATAGGCCACCTCCAAGATCTGTCTCACACTCTGCAACAGAAGGTGAAAGTCAAAGGGAGGGTTAGAGAGGAGAACTATGGAGTGAGCAAGAGCAGAAAATTAGAGAGAGAGAAAAAATACCTCACTGTCCTATGCTTAGTGCTTTACTGCTTTGGTGCTGGAAGTTTCCATGTCTGCAGCTCTGACCACACCACACTGTGCTGTTTGATCCCTTGCCAAGGACCCTGAATACACCCCACTCAGTTTACCACTTTCTGGAGATTTATATTCCTTACAAAGGATGTCAGGCGAAGAGTGGGTCCCACAGCCCCCGGATGTCATAGGCCCCAAAAGTGATTGTAGAGTCAGGACCAGCCAGAATCTGCCCACACAGCCCCAGGGCCACAGGACAAGGGAGCACAGAGCTGAAGTGGGATTCTCCCCTCAGGTAAACCTGTTCCCAGGTGCAAACAAAGACAGAGAACAGCCTGTCTCACCCAGGAGAGAGACACTCCACAGACAGTGGGGTGGTAGCCATCCACTTCTATAACCCATAGAAGGAAGCCCCAAATCTCCATGTTTTAAACTGCCAGGCCCTGACCATAATCCCTGCACTCCACAAGACACAACCTCTGATCCTCCCTACCTCATGGAGCTTTGAGAGGCCAAGCTCAGAGGGAGCAGAGTGAAACTCAGCTGGAAGGGGAAGTCCAGTAGTTCATTTGTTTTGTCTCCTCTTGTCAGACTTCCCAGAAAATAGAACTGTCATTCCCAACACGGCCATGATCTACAGACCTGGGTGCTGTGAGTTTAGCCCCCAGTGGTAGGTGAGGCCACTCCATCAAGGAGTCTTGAACTGCACCAGGAAAACTCCAAGAGAGCTACAGAGTTCCTAGGGCAAGTTGTACATGCACACACATGTGCACACCCATGCATACACAAAAGGGCCAATGCTGGTTTCCCAGGCAGTCTCACACCATGGTGGCATGAAGATTGTCTACCTCTCCCTTGAATTGCTGCAGGAGACAGGGGAGCCTCTCAAAAATAGTATCATGATGCCTCTCATGGTGGAGAAGGAGACCCATTGCACATCACAGTGCCTTGACTGCAGCCTGCTGCAGTTGCAGAGAGGGAAGGCAGGACTGAGTCCCTCTGACAGACTTTCCGGGAGGTTGTCCAGATCAGGAAGAGGCACAGTTTTTCTCCTTCTCAGGTCATCATTGGACCAGCCCCATCATTGGAACAGCCCCATCTGCATGGCACCCACCTATGGCAGCTGGAAGGGGCCATGGAATATGGCCCTGGGACTGGCTCATGGATCACACCTCCCCACTGTGCTGATGTGTCCAAATTAATGTACAGAGAGAACAAACTCCTCCTTGCTGCCATCCCCCTGGGCACCAAAGGAGTCATTCCTGGAAGGAGCTGCCCCATATCCCAGTGCTCACTGGCACCCATTAATGCACAGAACTGCACACTGCCTGTGGGCAGAGCAGATTCTCTGGTACACGATATGATCCCCTAAGACAG